TCAAATCACACTTGAGACTTTATTTAGAGCATCACCTGTGCACAATGCACATTTCTTAATATTAAGCCTAAAATGTATTTTAATGTCACTGTTGATGAGGATTGTATGATCTTTGAATAATATCGGTCTTTAAAAGCTAGATATTTAAAATGTACCTAAATTATACTTGCAATAGTTCCATTTTAGCACAATCAAATATACTTCAGTGTATCATTAGTTGGACTTCAGCACTACTTCTGCAAAATTCAAGTGCATTTAGTTGTTCCAGTTTAGCAGACTTTAAGTATACCAGTTTAGTGTACTAAAAGAACAATTGCAGGGTATTTTATTAAGTACATATAAATGTATTAGTAGCATACTTAGCATCAAATACATTTTAGTATTTTTCACTAGGGAAGGTTCTTTAGATTATTAAAATGTTCTTCACACTAAGAAAAAAAATGGTGAACTGTTCACGGAAAGGTTTACTGGGAAACCCAGAAATGGTTCTTCTATTGTTCTTCCATTGTTATTCTTCTAACTGTTGTTGAAAAACAAACAAACAAACAAAAACTACATTAAAAAATGTTATGTTTATTTAAAAAATTACTGTTATTTTTTACACATATTTGAGGACACCAAACATATAAAAACAACAAGGCAGTCTCAAGGGAACATGGAGGTTAATAGTGTTCTTGTGCGATGGCTTGTATGGTCTGTTTCAATAAATGCAGTTTTTTCCTAGTTATGAAGAGATTGAGAAGAGTGTTTCCCTGTATGTGTTTGTGTTTGAATGAAGCAGAGTGAATCTAATGCTCTGCTTCCCAGACGTGCCATATGGCGTTCGTGTGACAGGTGCATCTGCTACTGAGGAGTTCCTCAGGATTTGTTTACATAAAACAACAGCAAAATCAACCAGAAATCTTATTTCGTCAGATGTTTACTGAATTGTATATATACAAATATATTTACAAATACAGGTGCATCTCAATAAATTAGAATGTGCATTGAATTTATTTAATACACGAGTTTCACAATTTGAGTTGAATTACTGAAATAAATGAACTTTTCCATGACATTCTAATTTATTGAGATGCACCTGTATAGTCATATAGTTGCACTTTTGAAATGCTTATACAATAATTTGCACTTTTACGGTATTGTAATAACGGCATGATTAACTGATATACTCTTTCTGGACCATAAACTTTTTAAGAAAATGAAATGGCCATGTGTTTACTAAATAGTGTATGATGAGGGTTAAATATTGTCAGGAAAAACCGAGAGCTGGAATCTGGTGCATGCTAAAGAGATTGTGTTTATGGTATAAACAAGTGCTGTTTATCTGTTGAGTGCCGCAAACAGAAGAATTGGGTCCATAGAAAATTGGAATAGTTTTCCGCAACAGTGATATCATGGAATGTCTGACCCTCTGCAAGGCACAAGGACAGGTTTTAACAGAGCTTTTTCCAACCCAGTTTCTAGATTGTTCCACTGCAATTCTGGTAGTAAGAGTTTTTTGGTGGTAAGCACTACAAATTGCCATTTTAAGATTTAAGGTTTAAGATTTAAAGTTAACAAGAAATACTTTAGGGCAGTTGAAATGTCCTGTGGTGTAACATTTTGATAATGTTTTTGTATTTGTTTTGTAATATGTCTGTTACACCTTCTTCCTTGATTGTTTGTTCCAATTATGTTATTTTGTTTATATTTGAAAGACAATAAAAAGAGTACATTTATGAACAAAATTTGTCCTAGATTAATGAATTCTGTTGTTTATTGTTAGTTCTTGATACATAATGTTAACAAACTGAACCTTATTCAAATTGTTCCGTATCAGGCAGACAGATTTTCTAATCTCATATTAATGGAGACTTTATTGAATATGTATTAAATACTTTTAAAAATTCCTTTGTCACACCTCAGCACCAATGTTGATTTTAACTAAAGCTAAAGTTAACAAATAATTGTTATTAATAATTGAAATAAAGCTGAGATTAAAAAAAAGCTGACAGCTGTCCGAAATAAAAGAAAAATTACAACTGAAATAATAATAATAATAACAAAAAGCACATAATATTACTAAAACTAAAAGCTGATTCAAAATATTCATAAGTACTATAATAATTAATCAATAATACTATACAATAATTTTGCCCAGAACCATTTAAAAGGAAAAAGGTAACAATTCTGAGGGGGGAACTTAACATAAATTTTGAAACCATACATCAACTGACCCTAAATTATTGTAAAGCCATTATTTTATAAAGACACATTAAGGAATTCCTGACACCGGTGTTTAATGAAATTGAAAACGAACAGTGATTGTAGCTTGTGAGTGTTTTCAGTGTAAATGTCAGGTTTGTATTGTAGACCAGTGCTCTAGGCACATGAACAGCCCTTTGTTCTTTGTGTGGACTCTGATGTGCTGGCCAAAGCTTTCATTGTGTTCTGTGAAGTAGAGACGAAAATTGCAACCTGCCTTTGAAGGCCACTGTCAGTGAGACATTTAAAGCTGAAACGAGCGGTCAAAGAGCAGACGTCACAAGCGTGTGACAGCGTCCTGGGTCTCGACTCCCACTATTACACCGCATGCACACCTGGATACCTAGAAAACTGAATCTTTTCAATGCAAGTTATGGAACATTTAGTCATCAAATACCAAAAAGATCCATTCCCTGATTTCTACAACATCGACAATTCCTCACTTTGAAAGAAAGCTTTGTCGCTCCGCTTGATGAGGGGAAGATTTAGATGACACCCAGAGGGCTGAGACAAGAGCCCTCGGTATGCCTGGCCTCACCTGTCACAGATGATATCGCAGTGGTCATGGACAACTACACATTTTCGACAGTAATTTTAAGATGTGAGCAGCTGTCTTTGCATGAGGAAAGGATTTTTCGAAAGAGAAAACAGACTGAGACAGTGCTGAACGCAGCTAATGCTAATGAATATGATGATTCTGTCTGAAGAACTATGAAGTAAACGTGTAAATATATCGATATTTCTCCAGGTATGCGCACTTTTGGACTATAAGCCCTTGTTGACGCTGTTCAGTGCAGCTAGGTTTACGAATAAACCAAATGTGTTTGAAATACACAATAACCAGGTCTCTATATTTATCACCAATAAATTACATTTATTATATATAAAGCAATCTCATACATTTTGAATTGGATCTTGCTTGTTCCACAGACATAATTAAACTATGTTCATACTTTTTAACTGATTAAATGTAATTATTTTCACAATTAACAGATTAAGCTGATTCCATGTTATGTTTTGACGATTTTAATGATTTGTTTATTTGGTTTGAATCTATTTTATTAATAAAAAATGCAGATAATAGTAAATTAGGTGACACAAGATTAGTACATCAGAAACCAGAGAGTTAAAAACAAAAATGCCATAGTTAATGTCTCTTCTCTCACTTGAATACCTGTGTTCAAACTAAATGTCCCCAAATACAATGTTCAGGAAAACGTTGAATTAAATTTGCAAATTCACAATAACATACTGACATTTCGATAATAAATACACAACCGTATGTTGTAGATGTATGCAATGAATTCTTCAAAAGTTGTTAGTATTTTGCTAATCACACACAAACCTTAAACTTTATGGGTTTCTTTATGAACGGATCTGTCATCTACAGCATTATGGCTTTCTACGTTATCTCATTTTGGCGTTATATCTGTTTGTAGTACACCAAAATTGGAGCTACAATTAATAAATGTGTCATATGTGTGGTATGGTGCGTGATAAAACGAGGGTGTGTGTCAGGCCTGTGTGTTTGTGAATAGAGTGTTTGTGTAAAGTGTGTAAGGGAGGTGTAGGGTATAGGAGCAGATGGTAGACTTCTCCCCTGTAATGTCTGCTTCAGAGAGAACAATACAGCTCTCTTTCTGAGGCATGATTAAGGGGTGGAAGAGGATTGCTCTCCATGGACAGCTGGTTGGCAGCATGCCTCAAACGCACATGCAGACAACCCCTCCCCATCATCCACGCAGAAACACTCAGCAATTAACTGGCACAGGCCACAGCTTAAATATTCACCAGCCCAGAGCAAACAAAAGACCTTCAAATCCATTCTGTATTGGCTCATGGTCTATATTTCTCTTATGCATTTTCTGTTTTGTTCTGCTGCTTGTCACATATGTGACCACAAAACCAGTCATAAAGATTAATTGTTTTTAAATTGATACATCATCTGAATAAATAAGCTTTCCATTGATGTCTGGTTTGTTAGGATAGGACACTATTTGGCCGAGATACAACTATTTGAAAATCTGGAATCTGAGGGCGCAAAAAAAAACTAAATATTGAGAAAATCGCCTTTAAAGTTGTCCAAATTAAGTCCTTAGCAATGCATATTACTAATCAAAAATCACGTTTTGATATAAAGAGTTCATTTGCAAAAACAGATAACATTTTTAACCATTTTCAAAAATCATGTTTTTTTCATTGTGCATTCCAGTTACTCTCAATTTGATTTGGTAAAAAATAACTAAAAAATACAGCTAACTAACACAATAAAAACATGATAACATAATAAAAACATGATTTTTGAACATTTTAAAAAATTGAGTTATCTGTTGCTGCAAATAAACTCTTCATATATTTATGATATAGGACATTTACAAAATAGCTTCATGGAACATATAGGGTCACATTTATTTATTTATTTATTTTAAGAGAACTATCCCTTTAAGACTTACAAAGCAACCAAGTATAATAACCATATAGAAAGACCAGTAAAATGAAAAATCATCTCTGTCAAAGTAACGCATTCATAAAAGTACAAATTCTCCATGTTATTTTGTGTACATAAATCAAGTAATTAATGAGCGCACTGAAACTTCAAAAGAAAACGTAGTGAAACAGAACAACAAAGGTTACAGATCTCTGCGACTTTTACTGCATTCCTCTCACCATTACAAACAAAACGCCTTCAAGAAGCAGGACAAATGCGCACGGGGCTGAGAGTGAATGCAGTTCCGCTTGTCCCGCGCACTGCCCCCCTTCAGCAGCGCGCTCCGCGTGGGGGCGAGCGGTTCTCCCTGCGTTCTCCGAGAGGAGGCGGGCCGAGCGACAAGCGGAACTGCTTTTGATCCCCGAGGGACTCGCCGCCTTCACATTCCGCGCATTCCAGGGACCGTGAACAATCGGAGCTCGGTCATTTATTAGCAGAGCCCCTCCCCTCCTGAGCTCAGTCTGCTGGAGGAGCTCTCCAGACGCGCACGCAGCTCAAACATACGCATGGAAATAAAAGCCGTACCCAACGTATTTCCTTAAGGATTATATCGTTAAACAGATAAACGAGTACAGAAAGTCGTCCGTAACTTTTGGTCGTGATGCGATTGTGATTTGGTGAGTTTTTAAAACGTTTTAAAGTAGCTTGTTGTTGTAAACTGTCCTTTTTTATGACACATTGCTTGGTGTCTACCAGTGAACGATGCTTTTATTTAATACACTGTATGTGTACGATAGGATTTTATGAATTTCTTTGTGAACTATATGGTATAAATCCAACGTTTGTGACTTGTTCAATACATAAATGTAAATGTTATTGTGGAAGATACAACATCTTTGGTGCCACGTTCAGGTTTAACTACAATAAAAAAGAGGAATAAACCAACTTATATAATATCCCCTTGTTTATAATGCTCCATTTGGCATATTTCAATGTATTACTACAGTTGTGATTGTAAAACAAGGGTGAGACACTAGATAGGAATTTGTCTTTGTAGCAGGAAATAATTTTCGCAACATTGGAAAGTTATTGGATCATACCCAATTTTCCTTCACTTTTAATTCTAATCAAAATGTATAAACTTAAGAGGAAACCCAGTGCATGTTGGGGGTTGTAGGATGGTGCCAGTGGTATTTTGGGTAAGCGTGGTGTTGCTATGGGCAAAGGCAGTCAGCCTAGAAGCATGTGGAGTGAGGCACCACTCACTGGTGTTTGCTGTTGTAGAGTGTTGCAATATAGATGAGCAATAGCAAGGATTGCATTTGAAATCATTATTTAATTATTCTTTTTTCAAACCAGGTTCACAGTCTAGCCCAAAAAACTCCCCTAACACAGTATCGTTGATTACTATCTGCAAAACAAAGACTGAAATGAGAACGGCAGAGGATTCGTCAGGCACGGTGCTGCACCGACTGATTCAAGAGCAGCTCCGTTATGGAAACCCTACTGATCCTACGCTGTTGGCCATCCAGCAGCAGGCTCTGCGTGGAGGCAGTAGCGGTGGAGGTGCAGGAAGCCCTCGTTCGTCCCTGGAAAGCCTAACGCAAGAGGAATCACTTTCTCCCCAGTTGTCCACCCGGCAAGAGCCCCAGGGCCAAGAGCACCAGGGGGACTACCAGCATTCAGAGAGTCCCATCTGCCACCTCTATCAGTTCCACACAGAGGAGCTGCCTACTTATGAGGAAGCAAAGGCTCACTCACAGTACCTGGCCTACCAGAGAGGTCAGGTAGGGCTTCAGCACGGCAGCCTGGAGACCCCTGGTGTGGTTGGAGGAGCCGAGCAGGAAGAGAGAGTGTGGGATATGAAGCGAGAGCATGCTCGCTCGCTCAGCGAACACTTCATGCAGCTCTCGCTGGAGAGGAACTGTGCCCATGACAGTATTCCCATGAGCTCATCGCATAGCTACCCCCAGCTCTCTAATAACCACTCTGGTCCTGTTGTAAACGAGAGGTCGATGCATGAGCCAGACCAACGCGGTCCACCCCCGGAATACCCCTTCATGGTCAGATCCCCTGGATATATGCTTAGTCATTCACAGGAACATGGGCACTTTTACAAAGAGCCTCCCCCTGCTTTCCATTCACAGCATCACAGGTACTTTCAACTGATATTTTGATCATTTATATTACATATAGGTACATTGTGGGTGGTTTGGCATACTAATGGTTTATATTTTTCTCTATCAGGTTATTTCCAACCCAGTCGCAAACGCCCCACCATAGCGGCCTGCCCACGTTGACCCCTGCTGGTCAGGATGTCATTGTTGGAGGATACAGCATCCCGGTGAGCAACTGCCAAGTAGAGCAGCTCATTAAAGAGAACGAAAGACTGAGAGGAGAAGTGGAGAGCTACAGCGAGAAGGCAGCAAGGCTACAGAAGGTAAGAGAGGGCTCTTTGTTCCTTCTTAGAAACCTCCCAAAACTGTTATATTCTTGGTATGACCTCTACATTTTGCCATTAATGCAAAAGAGGCAGCCGTGGCCTTTGATTTTGATCTCAGAAAGGACCTACAAAGCATATGGAAACAAGAAATCATTGTGCGCTGGTGTCTTCTAGCTGCCTAAGGAGATTAGCCCTCTCGCTGAGTAGGAATGCATGCAAGGGAGAAGATCACAAGGATTTCGATTTTAATTTGAAAAGCACTCATTCCTAGTGACTGGGTTCAAATTCCCAGTAACTTATTTAGCATGTGAAACAACACTGAATTTAGCCATGCCTGCAATGCCAAGCATTTTTTTGTAATGTGATAATGTCATCACTTAAATACCAGAGTGTCATGCAGAACAAGGGGAAAAAACGGGTTTATTTTGTTTGTGCGTTTGTTTTGGAAAGGTTTACTGGGCCTTGCATGTGTCATTCAGTAGCATAACATAGATTGAATTTCAGTTTAGTTTCCACATAGTTCTTGAAATCAGAACAACTGTAACAGTGGATCGTGAAGATCAAGTCGCGATAAATTGTAAATCAGACAACTCCAAAGGGGGAGGCCTCCCTGTGTTGTTCTGTTACCCTCTTTGTTAGGATTCCAATGGGATGCCAATAGGAGCAGATGTCTTCGCTCATCTCAGTGTCCGTGAATGAAGAAGGGGCTTTGCGTAGCCCACAGCTGACGGACTGAACTGCAGAGAGCAACAACCAGACCCCACAGCTGTGGATTCCCCGACTGAATGGCCCCTTTCACTTTCACTCTTGAACAGAACTCCACATGGCACCCAGGGTCCTGCTTAAGAATTGAATGAATATAGTGTTGTTAGAGTAAAAATTTGAACTGTGATTCAAGGAAATCAGTGATATTTCTGTAATGACAGTTTAAATCGTTGTGGAAAAATGTGCTCTTTCATGAGCCATAATCTGCGTCACAAATGCCATACAGGTGCATATAGTGTGAAGTACCGTTCTTGTCTCTGAATGGTACGCCTTCAACACGCACTTTTCCTTTGTTCCCCACGTTTGCCTTTGGCATCCCGCCCTGTAGGGAGATGAACGTGCAGACACCTGGGACTCATAAGTGTTCTTTCTGGAATGTTGATTCAATTGCCAGTCGCTGAAGAGCTCTGTGAGAGTGACTCACTTGTGGGCAAGCACCAGGAAGAGCTCAGCCAAGCACATTCTTCTCTCTTTCCCTTCTTTTCTGAATTGTTTTTGTCTATCTGTCATTCTTGCTCTCTGATCGTTGTCTTATAATGTTTAAGTGTATGAAACAGTATAGTTGACCCAAAAATGGAAATTCTTTTGTATACTTACCCTCATGTTGTTTCAAATCCGTATGACATCCGTCCTTCCACGGAACACAAAAGGAGATACTTAGTATAATGCCCAACTTGTTCTTTTCCATACAGTGAAAGTGAATGAGAACCAGAAACTGATGAGTTCCTTTAGGTTAAAGATATTAAAATGCCTTTCCCCTCTCTTTCAGCTTGAACTGGAGATTCAGAGGATATCGGAGGCCTATGAGACTCTTATGAAGGGATCTGCAAAGAGAGAAGCCCTTGAGAAAACCATGAGGAACAAGCTTGAGAGTGAGATCAAGCGACTTCATGACTTCAACAGAGATCTCAGGGGTAAGATGGTTCACATAGCTGAGTAATTGTCTTAAATATGAGCTACATGTTTAGGTATGAGGCGATAAATACTAATTGTTGACTCCCACATTAGACCGCCTGGAAACAGCCAGCAAACAGAGAGCAGCCATGGAAGTTGAAGACAAGAGTCGGCATGCCTTCGCCAAACTGGTTGAGCAAAGTAAGAATTCCCCTTTGCTTCACCATAAATTATCTTTCTACCAATGTGTGGACAGTGCGGTCAACCATGTGAGCAGCCCCAGCTGTTCCCACTGACTTTTTATGTTTATGTTGTAGGCATAACGATGCATTCCTCTAACAATAATGCACTGCGTGGTTATCATTGATGTGATTCCCGACAAAGCGTTTGGTTTGATATATTTCTTGCTAAGCTGAAATGTTCCATAGCAAAAAACATTTTATTAACCAAATTAAGTGCCATGTAGGGTTCAGTGAATAGCTGGTTTGGTACACGCTGTATTCTGCATCTCAGATAGTTGCTTTTAGAATTCGACCACCAACCATTATTAACACTGGAAGTAAATGTGACCTGGATTCCTGAAATATTTTCAGGTATTTTGGGATATTCCGTCCTCCTGGAATGCTTTCCAACAGCCCCCACCACTAGTTCAGCTTCTGAGGCCCTAAGCACCCCTTCTGATGGCCTATGCACTGGCTCTCCATTTTTGGGCATATTAGTGCTAAAGTATTTAGAGCTGTGTTAGGGTAAATTAGATTTGTTTTGCTAATCCTAATAGGGATTGTTGTTGTTGTTGTTCAGCATTTGATTTGACCCTTTTGGAATGGTCCTTTTTTTCTATTCCCCAAGGATAGATGTATGAAGTTATCTTTCATATTTGTGTATTAAAATTAGTTCTTCTCCAAGCTCCAAGTCTGAAACAGAACAGTTTTGTGCAAACAAAAAGCCTGGATGTTTAAATGTTTAAAATTTCTTGTGAGCCAACACATAAGCATGTCCAAGCACGATTCAGCATTTCTAAAGACTTATAACGATGTATAAGTTAACATTTATGACCTTGTGGAGCTGTTTGCTTTACATGTTTACTGCCTGCCTCAGAGGCATTCCAGAGATTCAGTTGGTACAAAGACGTGCCTGTGTGCGTAAGTGGATAAGAGGAAGTCTGCATTCCATCCAAAGGCATTTGTTTTGGGTTGTATAATCAGAGTAGGAGCAGAATGGAAGACTAATTGCTGTCTAATTTGTTTTCCATCTCGCAAGGCATTCAAAGTGACCCAGAAACAAGTGAGCTGGGCTTTAGTATGTCCCTTTTCAGTGAGCCAAGTCATGGTAGAGCATTTCGGAATTCAGAATCCCAAATGGGAATTCATTGAATTGCTTTTGTAATCTGGGAATTCTAAAGCAGTCTGCAGTGTAGGTCAAAGGACACGCGGAAACTCGGCCACTCCCCTGCAAACCCAGACAGACATGTGTAAATCAAGCATGCCTCTTTTGTTCCAGACTTTTGTGGGAAGCTTATCCCCTGAGAATTGGTTAGAATGAGACTACAGCCCAGAGAATGCTCTGGACACACCCCAGTCCTACAGCACGGTCATTCATTTTGTGGCCTGTGTAACAACTAGGCATGATGAGTGAACAGCAAGCATTGCTTTTACCCTTACTGAAGTAAGTTGTCCTGGTACATAGTTCTCACAATGTTTGTCTCTTTCTCTCCGTAGATGAGGATCACCTTAGAGAGCGGGAACGTCTGGAAAAAGAGCTGCAGCATCTGCACGTCTCAGGAGAAGAATGGAAGAGGCGCAGAGAAGCCTTGGAGCAAGCGCTGATGTCCACTCAGACACGAAATAGGCAGCTGGAAGAAGAGTTACGCAGGAAAAGAGCTTACGTTGAGAAGGTGGAGAGAATGCAGAGCGCCCTGGCACAGTTGCAGGCGGCATGTGAGAAGAGGGAGGCGCTGGAGTTACGATTGAGGACCAGACTGGAGCAAGAGCTGAAGAGCCTGAGAGCACAGCAGGTAAAACAAAAAAAGAGACAATCTTTTGTGCACCCAACTGGTGAGAAAATTATGGTTTGGGCTTGACAAGTAAACCTTTCCTTTCTCTTTCAGTGGCAGTCTCAAGCCCAGCAAACGAGTCCTAGGTCCTACTTGGACCTTAACGTGTCATCTCTGCATCAGCAGCTGAGGGAGCGAGAGGAGCAGGTTCTGGCCCTGGAGGCTGACATAACCCGCTGGGAGCAGAAGTATCTTGAGGAGAGCACAATGCGTCAATTCGCCATGGATGCTGCTGCTACTGCTGCAGCTCAGAGGTGAGTCGAAGTGATAGAAGCCCTGCCTAAAAGGACAGGAAATTGGAATTAATTTGATAAAACTTGTATAAACTTTTGTATAATTGTAATGCTCTTTTCAGGGATACAACAATCATCAACCATTCACCTCGCCATTCACCCAATAGCAGCTTCAATGAGAACCTGCCGTCCCCTAACCACAGACATCAGGAGATGGAAAACCGGTATGTCCACTGTTCCATTCTCTATCCACAACTGGAAAGTCAATCAAAATGTGTTAACTAAATTTCCAGTAGTCTCCATGTGCTGTATCTCAAAGAAGTCTGTTTAATCAGGATTCGGGCGCTTTATGCTCAACTTTTGGAGAAGGATGCCATTATAAAGGTCATGCAGCAGCGGTCACGACGGGAGCAAGGCCGACCTGAGTCGCTAGGCCTACGACCTGCTCGATCTGTTCCCTCCATCAACACGGTTGCCACAGCCAGCAGCACCCAAACCAAAGGTGAGCATAGTAGCCATAGCCAGTGGTTTCCAATCCTGCGGAGTTTAGCTCCAACCTACCTGCCTGAAAGTTTCTAGCAATCCTGAAAACCTTCATTTAGATGGTTCAAGTGTGTTTAATTAGGGTTGCAGCTAAACTCTGCAGGGCACTGACCCTCCAGTAGCAGGATTGGACACCCCTGCTATATGTCTGTAACATATCTGAACCAAAAATTACATACACTTTCAACTGGACAACTGGCAGCTTCTTTACTTAGCGTCTATGTAATGTCGCCAAGAAAGAATGTGCCAACCGAAATAAAATGAGTGCGGCGACTAGCCGGTGTTCTTGAAATAGTCTACATCTTGTGAAACGGAATGCATTTCGCTCTTCTCTAGAATAGATCCTCCAGAATAGTAAAGGGAGTTTACAGGATGGCAAATGTTTGCGTGGTGGAATGTCTATGTTGGAACCAGTAATTAAACTGCTTCCTTTTCCGTCTGCGATTTTAGGGAAAAGCCTCTCGGATGACCAGACGGCAGCCGCGTCATTGCCCCCGTTGCCCCATCCGCTAGCCAAAACCCAGTGTCGAGACAGCAGCACCCAGTGTGAAGAATCTTCAGATGAGACCAACCCTAAAACAGAGCCTGCTCCACAATTTTCCATTGCTCCCAGTTCTGGTGTGTAAACTCGTACATAAAGCCATCTTCATTTGTGTCACTTACTGTATTTATTTGGTATTTCTGTGAGTAGTTCGATAAGTTCTGTTGATTGACATACAATGTGATAAATCTAATATGTAGTATCAGGTGACAAAGACAATGCTTAATGGTTAGAACATCTGTAATGATGGTGCATACTTGCCCTTTTGAACCAGAGTGGTTAAAGAGTAACCTGAGCACCATGTCAAAGCAGCGATTGGGGAGTGAACTCAAACAAAACAGTCAAAGTTTTGTAAAACTTCCCGCCTTGTTTGCTATCCAGGCATTAGCCAACAAAGCTGAAGATCTTGTATTTCATTGCAGATTCCACTGCTCTCAACACAAACCAGATCAGCAGTGCTGTTGAAAACGACATGGTGGAGATTCTCATCTGAGATGAACGTTGTTCAGCTTGATGCTGCCTGCTGTTCTTACACACAGAAGATTCTCATTGGATGTCCATTTGAGGACCAACCATATCAAGAGAATCCTGTGCTTGCTATGAGAAGAGCTCGCCATTGAAGTGCATCAGACAGAAAGAAGAACGAATAGTGGGAGTAACCTAAAACTGATTCTCGGTGAAGGAGAGCTGAGCTCTCCTGACAGTGCCTCCACACGTTAAAGGACAGTGTTCATTCTCAGCTGGTGGCTCTCAACCTGGACTGTGAGATGTATGGTCTGAATTTGAGGTGCTTGGACAGTACTCTACAGAGCTCCAAAAAGCTACCACAAGACTTCTTAAGTGCTTATAAACACATTGTACATGTTCTTTTGTATTTATGAGTATTGCTGCTGACTGTGTGACAGAATGGAGAAATAGGAAGAAATATCCCACTGTTGTGAAACTTTTTTGTTTTTGCATTTGCTTTTTGTTTGAGGAACAACCAAGGGCAGTTTTGTTGTTTTTTTTTTTTTAACCAACTAAGTATACCGACCCATGTAAGACTATATCCCACATTCCTAGATAAAAGCACAGACAAATATATCTCTAACTGTATGTGCTCCATGTATAGTAGATGTACCATCGCAACTGCTTCATCCTTAAATATCAAGAAAAGAATAGTTTGGATTGTAGGAGGCCAAATACAGTTTGAACCTGGAGGCCTGGGATTAGACAATTAACCAGAATAGTTGGGTAAATACCTTCACTAGCACTCCCTTTGACTAAATTATCATTACAGTTGGTGTTCTTACTATAACTGACTGACAGCGGGTGCTTCTCGCTCCCAGATTTAAGTAGAGGAATAGGAAGCCTCCTTTTGGGGACAGTGGATGAGTACATGCTCTTTTAGTGGCACTTAGGGAAGTGTTACCCTTAGGAGGGACAGGGGGCTGATGTTTCAGATGCCATATTATTATTATTTTGCGCCCAGAACTGCAACCACCATGCTTGCCACTTCCTCGCAGACAAGCCGGAGCTAATCTTCCTACAATCCTCCGTGGCGGAATGCCCCTGCTCAGAGGAAAAAGGCTATCTGCAGTCTGACCTTTAGCCTTGTTCAAAACGGCTGGCATTTAGACTACCATCCTCTTTTGGGATCTGTTTATTTGTGTAGGGCTGCAGTAGCTGGTTTGATTTCATGACTCAAAGGTTCTCCAATGTAGCGACTGTGACTAGCCTTGATTTCTGAGACAGAGACTTTTCTGCCTGTTCGCAATCAAGACTACACTTGCATTATGGTGGGATAATGATATAAAAGGTTACCGTGAAAACAAACAGTCTTATCTATGTGGGTAATAAGTATCACACCATGTTAATTTAACCTTTCTCGCTATCATTAAATGCTACTTTTATTTTCCCATTGGCTCTGATACAACGCACTTGCTGGTCAATGCTTTGTAGTGGAGTCATGCTTGTTTTGTTCACTACTTGGACTGTTTACAGAAAGGGCTGTTTTGAAACGAGAGAATTTAATATATTTTGTGTATTATTTTACTTTTTGGTATTTAGTAATGTGAACATGCCAAAGATTTTTGCGATTTTACGATTAAGTTATATAATAAAATATGAGCATTAGCGATGTGAAATGTAGATACGCAGTTCAAACTGGTTGACCCATATTTGGATGTTGCTGTGAACTTCAAGAATGGGGAATTGTTTTGTATGTCATTTAACATTTCAGTAATTTGAATAAAACTTTAATATATATCTTTACACAGACAATGTGTCGGCTGGTTTGTATCTTAACGGTAAAGACAGATGCGTATGAGTGGTGTGTCCTCCTGAGATGTTTCACATGTGCAAGTCTGCACAAGCTGCTCTTATCGGTGTCCCTTCTTTGGCATGAATGACATCTTTCTTTCAGAGCACAAGGGAGCCTTATTCACAACGGCAACACAATTCTGCCACCTGCTTCACTGTTGGCAAGCAGTCTTCATGAAGAGAGGCCACATTCCAGCTTTGCTCTCAAAGCCGCAAAAAGAACATTCCTCTCATCAGCCGTGCAAATGTTAAAATGGAAGACGTGGAAAAAATTTGCAACACAGACCAGACTGCTATAAATACATAATGAAAGCACAATGATTAACCAAATGCTTAGAATACAATGATGGAAATAACCAGTACTGTTTTGTGGTTTTGCAAATTAAGACATAATTTTAGCCTCTGCGAGCTCGCTTTCAACTCAGGTGCATCAAAAATTGCTTACTGAGTAGGTACTACGTTTGAGGTGAAACAAACAATGCTTCTCTGCCGAAGCATTCTCGGTGGAAGTATTAGGACAGGGCTGTCCAAACTCGGTCCTGGAGGGCCGGTGTCCTGCAGAATTTAGCCCCAACTTGCCTCAACACACCTGACTGGAGGTTTCGTTTAATGAGGGTTTGAGCTAACCTCTGCAGGACACCGGCCCTCCAGGACCGAGTTTGGACAGCCCTGTATTAGGACATCTGGGTACTTTTCACCTACTGTGAATTCAGACATGGTACTCTTTTCATATACTGTTTTTCACCTACTAGTAGGAAAATAGGCATATTCGGATGCAGGGTAGGACATTTAACTGCCTTAGGCAAATTAGAGCTAACCAGACAAGGGTCTAAACAGTTTGGAACGCTTGCAAGCCAAATTGATTCAAAGCTTCATAGCTCAACATCAAGAGGAATTTGCCCCCTGGTAGAGTAAAACATGTTAGAGCATTCCATTCCAAATGGGGAAGAAGAGAGATTTCTGACATATCAGATAAGAAGTAGAGCTGAAATGCTGTTCTTTCTTTCTCGAGCTGAAATGAGTTCATTTCAACTCAGGAGGCATAGTGGAATTCTCCGTTCAGTTATATGTTTAAATGATCAGTTTTGTCTCTGATATTTCTCCAAAATAAAATAAAAAAACAGCCAAATGAGAATGCTGATAAAATTAAAGAGTATAGCAATATTAAATAGTTAACACAGCTAGACAATTTAATGAGAATTTTTCATACTGAAAATTTGCAGGTTTAAATCCCAACAGTTTCAGACAACATTGCAAGGTTTCTCAACTATGACCCTTCATGGTCCTGCAGAATTTAGCTCCAAACTCACCTGCCTGTAATTTTCTAGTAATCATGAAGACCTTGATTAGCTTTGGAGCTAAACTCCAGAATCTCCAGAGCCAGAGATGAGAAACCATGATGCATCATTGAGATTTTATTTAAAACCTTAAGAGCAGGGTTGCTCAAATCTGGCCCTGCTCTGCAAAGTTTCAAGGTCTTCAAAGTTACTTGAAAAGTACAGGTAGGTGATTTTGATCAGGGTTTGAACTTCAGGACTTCAGGAGACAGGAGCCTAGACATGGGCAGACGAAGCCTTGTGAAGCTTTTGAGGCTTTGTACTGATTGTACCAAAAAAAAAAAAAAAGAGAGAGATTCAAAGCCTCAAAGACAGACCATACCAGTGACATCTAGTGGTCAGCTGCAATTATAGCAGCCACTTTCAAATGATTCGCACATCTTGTTGATTCCAGTTTCAACACAAAAGCAATACTCCGCAATAGCAGCTGTGTCTTCATTCTGAGAATCATTGTCCACATATGAAAGTGTTACTATAAAGCAGGGAGGGAACACCAAGCATTTCGCGCCTCCTTATAATGAATGAAGCCGCACCAAAGAATCGAATCGGTCACCTCGCTTCAGGTGTTTCATTGTGACGTATGAAGCCGCAAACGCCATCGGTCACGTGACACGGAGATTTGATACAAGCCTCAACACCAGTCTGCTTCAATAGAGTAAAACAGGCTTTGGAGCCTCAATATCAAACGTCCCAGCTCTACAAGAGCTTCATGCAGAAGTCTTACTTTTCATAATTAATCTCATTGCGAGTGGGGTTGTATAAGGCACAAACCTAGCTATATGAAAAATGTGCCTGGTAGAGTTTCACCTTTCCTCCCTGCTCTGTCAGCAGCATTAATCTCTTAAGAACTTTGACTCCCAAGTTCTGTTCATCAGCTGCATTTTTGAAATAGTTTTCTAAAGAATGCAGACAAATGAATCCCCATATAAGAGCAGCCTTTTTGCTGTTGGTTCCAGCCTGCCAACTCAATGCATTCATGTTTCAGGATAATCCACTTTGTAGTATAGCCTATGCATTAATACGATGATCCTCACACACCCTGAGCGACACTATAACTTAAAAGCTGTAGGACACCTAACAGTTTTAAATAAGTCAACTGAGAAGAAGACTGTGTGTGTTCTTCAGTGGGTTTCTGTTTTCAGGATAAATATTTTGCCTCTCATGCCTCCCTCGGTAGGTGTGAGCTGGCATTCCATAAATGCTTTGCGAGATACCTGGCCGATGGGTTTACTTGTGACAGATCAGTGTGACTTTTCTCAGCTGAAGGAGTACAGACGCAAGGAATGCTCCTGCTGGAATGTCTCACTCCTCAGGGGGCTCCAGTACACTTCAAGGTCAACCAATGGCCTGGTGTGCTAGCAGTCACCTCCTTCCACTACCAGAATCATCACTGTCCTTGCGCAATAGCAGGTTGCTGGGCTTATAAATCATTTATATACCACTGTGTCTTTATGTAACTGAAAGCTTTTCTTGTCTCCTTGAACAGTCTTGTTCATTTCTGGTGTTCTGTCTAGGTGAGGGGTAAGATTGGCGGACTAAGAGCTTCAACATCTGTTAGTGTGCATACTAAGATCTTGCGCTGTTTCATGGGGAATGTCATTCTTGGCACTCAGCTTGTTTTAGCAGGCTTCCCAGGCTCCCCAAATTTCAGTGGAACCATCAGGGACTTGGTCCATTCCAGAAATATTTGCAATTTGAAAATGTAAAAGCCTTGAAGACATCTACAGTTTCTTCCGATGAACATGTAGTGCAATCATATTGCTATAGGTGATGTTCATAGTGAATTGTCAGTTGATAAGTGACGGTTCACCCAAAAATGAAAATTCTGTCATTTACTTACTGAATGACTTTATTTCTTCTGTGGAACATATTCTAATAAATCTCTTGTTTATCTGTACACTTGGAAGTCAGTAGGCTTCAACGTTTAGTTGCAAATGTTGTTCAAAATATCATCTTTTGTGTCCCGCAGAAGAACGAAATGCATTCATGCTTTATCTTTACATGATTAAGTATGATAACCATCATGAAAAATGGTTCCCATCAGTGTTCAGAATAGTTTTTTCCAGTGATGCCTTCACTGACTCAGCAAATGAAAAGCACATTGTTAATACTGGCCTTTACAGATGTTCCAAAGACCTTAGTAACATGTTCTTGGTCAAGGACCTTAGTAACACATACCTAGAAAAACAATTCAATAAGTCAAATGTTGTGTTTTCCATCAGTTCCCAAGGAGACTCGCTGAGATTCCAAAACCTCCAGGAGTGTGGATGGAATAAATTTCCCTCACCAACTCTTTCCCCTTTCCTTTCCAAAGAAGGTTACGGCTGTCTAATTTTAAAGGCATCCTATTATGCCTCTTTTCAGGTGACCTCAGAACATGTCTGTGAAGTTTCAGCTCATAATACCCCACAGATAATTTATTATAGCCTACCATTCTGGAACGGTGCTAAAGGTGTTTTTTGGTGCACTTTGTTTGCTGCGACTCTCTTATCGGTGGAATTTCTATACAGCATCATGGGTATAGTTTTTCACTATTCTGCTACTAAGTGCAGTTATTTTAAAAATGAGTTAAATTAATGTGAACAGATGAGCTCAACAAA